ACGACGAAGCGGAGATTTTCATTGAATTTGCAATTCCGTCGCCGGTGGCAGACAGCAGCTTCACCGCGAAAGCTCAGGCTAGCTACCCTTGCTGCTGCTGGTGACTTTCGAATCTCACTCTTGGCACTTTAAAGTATTTTTGGTTTTAAAATGCAGAGAATTGATTTGCCGAGTGCTTGTTTTTTTGTTATATTTCTCTTGGCTCTTCTTTACCGTCGTATCTTGTGTACGATAGTTTGATATTATTTCATCTGCTTCCGACACTTTGGCATACGAAACTTTCCTTATTATATTTTTATACTTCCATTTTCAATTACTCCATGATGTTCTCTCAAAGTTCATGAGACATTTTTTGAAATCATTTTCAAGGAGAAAATTCCTCTTTCAAACCTTGTAAATATCCGCAAAGTCTCGAAGCTCCTCTCTGAAATGGAGTCGAAAGTTACATTTTCAACGAAGTTTATTTTTAATCTGTTCCAATGCAGTGACTTTTACATCGATTACCGTTGGCCCAATAAAAATTATTTCATCGAAACTCGCACACGATCGTTAGTTTTTTCTCCGAGCTCTTGAATCGAAAATCTTGAATACACGGATATTGCGAACAATTGAAAAACGTATCGGATAAATCGCGAGCAGTTAAAATAATCGAGTTATGCCAATATTTGTTCTTCGCATGCATCCGTTTTGTTTCGTGAAAATTCCATTCTTTTTCTTGCAAAAGGCGAGGATTGCCGCTTATGAGAAAGCGAAAGAGGAGGGGGGCTTTGCTCGTATAGGTCTATGTAAACGAGACCAAAGCGATCCCAGTTAATATACATTTTACTACGTAGACTAGCTAAATCAATATTATAGAGCTGTATGTATAGGGGCGCACACAGGGCAAGATCCTCGTTCTGGTGCAGCAGGCAGTGGCCTAGCCGAGAGGTCATGCATTACGTCCTTTATGCATATGTATGTGTATATGGACTGGAGCAGTAACCCGTGGCCTACACGCGGTCATGTATTTTATCGGACTTGCGTTGCCGCCGCTCCTGCTGTTTTATGGCATAGAACCGAACAATATCCTCTCTCTCTCTCTCTCTTCCTCTCTTCCTCTCTGTAGCTCGTTGATTTTCTCTCTTGGAAAGCTCTCTTTCGCGATTCTCTGTGTAATCCTTTGTTCGTCTGCGCGTCGTCGACTGTCACGGGGCTTTTCTATTTATTTGCGCATTGAGTGGCGCAATCGACGTTTTCTTTGTGTTTTAAATATGAAATGCTGCCACTGGATCGGACAAACTCGCCGTACGTTTTATCTGCGTGTTTGCGCGCAATGTAGTATCCTAGATTTTCTCCTCGCCAAAAGTCCACCTCTTTGATATGCTAATCTCTTTGTTCGATTGCGATTTGTTTAAAAAAAATTTAATATTCCATTCGAGTGTGCGGAACGGCCAAGCGCGCTTGTCCAAGAAGTCACTTTGATGGGGGGGAATAAAGAAAATCGTTCGGAACTTGGCCGGTGTAACGGGCATAGGTATAGCTATAAATGCTTGTCGAACCGGTCATCCGGAAAGGTAAAGCTTGCACGTGCGCGCGCGATCCAGCATCTCTCGATATAAAATGCAGCACAAGCTGTCTCGGAAAAAAGCACGAGGATGGCCTGCGCGCATACGTGACAAATTTACCCTAATCGCGCTGCAGTTTACACGCCTTAACTCTGCCCTGCTGTGTAGCATTGAAATACTGCCAATGTACACGAGACTCGGCTCATTGCTGAATATTCTGAAAAATAAGAATTCCGATGATTTCAAGATGTTGCTGAATGAGATTTATTTCTCTGTCTTGAGGTTTACCGAGCAAACAAAGAATATCTTTACTCTCTGCGCCCATCTCTGCAGATACTTATTTCTTTCCCTGCAGCCTCCCTTTTTTTGTTGGCAAAAAGAAAAATTATCCGCTTCGTATTGCATGAAACATTTTAACCTCTCTCTCTCCTGCCCTTTGCTCAAAAATGCTCGTTTCTCTTTTCTTTTTTTTTATACGCTTTTCTCGACGTGCGCTTCAGGCGGTGTTCGTTTTTTACCCTCTCACAGCTCCCTGCAGTTTTCCCTCTTTCTCTTTCTCTCCCCGCACAAGTGAGTCGTTCTCGAGAGAATTTCTATATATATGTACATAAAATAAGATGAAGCACGTGAAAATAGAAAATTATGGAAAATATTTCACGGAAAAATCCGAGTCTAAAAAACAATGATCTCAATCTTTGTGATTTTTTTCGACTTTGGGCAAAAAAATGAAAAACATCAAAAGCTCTGAAAATAAGTCAAAGAACATGTGTGAACATTTTCAAAAATTGTTTACCTCTACTTCACCTAAAAATTTCTTAATTAAAAATATCGGCTTTTCGTTTGGAAATTTTGACGAATCGTCAGAAAAAGATCTGAAACAATTTGAGATTATTAATTAGAAAAGAAGATGCGCGTGGTAGAAAATTTTATAAAAATGATTTAATTTTACCTGGATTGGATTGACATGTTTAACTTTAAAATGCTTTATTGCGAAGAAAATAATATAGTGAGCTTTTGGGTACTCATCGACTATATTTAGTAATTCTGAACTTACCTTCATACTAATGATTATCATTATAATATATTCTTTAATGTTTTGTTTATTTGAAAAATAAATAGTAATCGATAGTCTCAAGTTTTTGTGTCATGGCGCGTGAAAATAACCCAAAACTGCTGTGCACACTTTCCACTTCTTGTACTTAAAAATATACTATCGTAAAAGTGACGGCTGGTATTTGTTAATGAGTTAGATATTATCTCGTAATTTGTCTCGTGAACTCAAGCGAATTAGCCAGTTTAATTTTCATTGCGATAAAACGCAATTCCGCAAGTTGGAGCATATCGTAAATCAAGTGCATTTAAGCAGCGCGAAGTACAAAAGAGAAAACGCAAAAGAAAGAAAAAAACTGTATATAGCTCAGTTCGAACGTATGGGGCGCGGGGTACGTAAGAGTGGAGCTGTGTAATTTTCACGTTCATACGCGAATAATAAGATTGGAAGCTCGCGCGAGCTCGATGGTGCGCTGGCAGTGTGCACAGTGCAGTCACGTAGAAAAGTGGTTGGGATCGCCTGGAAATTCGAGTACTCGTGTTTTCATCGCGATAAAATGTGCTACTAGTTGCGTGCCACTACTATACGTGTACCCTGTGCGCAAGGGCAGATAGAGAGAAAGAGAGAGAGAAAAAGCTCGGGCGCTCGTGCTAGACTCGTGTGGCCGATAAAAGCCCTGCTGCTGCTGCTGCTCCTACGTGTTTCTCAGGGTCATAATTTTCTTCTATGTAAAATATAAAAGTGCTCGTTGAGTTTTCTAATCGATTTGGGTGATCTCGCACTACTGTGCCCGAGCTACACTGTATAAGTTTTCAGAAATAGCTATGTTGGCTGCTGCAACTATGTAGCACGTACACGTTCGCTCGCTGCACTACATCGCACTATGTACACACATTGCTCGCATTGTTTCCCTTTTTTTACGCCGAGCGTTTGTAAAGCAAGTTGTTTTCTTTGTTGCGGCCTGTCGCTGCTCGCTGCATAAGACTTTTCCGAGGTCGAGTGATTGATCTGCGTCGTCTTTGGGAGGAACGACCGACGCGTACACGCGTGTCAACAAATTATTTACAACAAATCTAAAACATTCTGCAGTAGCATTATGCAAGTTTGTAAATTATGCTCTCTCGCTATTGCTATTTTTTCCTCGAGATGCTTCGACGCGACGATCGCGCGTCACCTGCGCATTTCCGAGAAAATGAACATTGCGATTGCGCGAACTGCATAACTCATTCGTCACTTTCCGTTAGAACAGAAGCGTAAGCTTATAATACCTACGTTTCTCGAAATGCGCTGGAAAACGAAAAGAGCCTCGCGTGGCAATGTCACAGGTGAAGCTGTGAGCTACTGCCAGCAGAAAGCTGCCGCATCAGCTTTCGTACAGTTGCAATTCGCTTTAAAAGATAACGAGCATGACACTATCGAAAATTTACGCAATATATATTGTACATTCATGCACCGACCGAGAGACATACACACACATACACCAACGTTCAGCGAGTCGCCAAGCGGAAAATTACTCGAATGGTGATTCGAATAAGTGGACGTATAAACTATATATTCGTGTTCAGGGCACACGATTTTGCTGCAGAGCCGCAAGGCATTATGCGGCTTATCACGGCAATGCAGCTGTAACTATGAGAAACATGTAGGTTTTTTCTCGGTTTTTGCCCCTTACTAGTGTTTGAAACGTTATTAAAGTTTTACTTCTTTATTTCTACAAGCGCACACAATGTTGAGTAAAGAATCTTCAATCGAAACCATTCACTTCTTCCAAAAGATATTTTTGTTTCAAATTTTCAGTAATCATCTTGATTTTTTTCTATTCAAATAAAAAGGGCTAATTTATCTAATTACATCGAAGCCTCGAACTTTTTTTATTATAGTGCAGCAAAGCATTGTTATTTTATAAGTAATATATACTTTCATCCCCCATCCATCATTAATAAGAAAAAAAGTAGTTACTCTTTTTACTTTTTTCTTATAGAAACAAACGAGAAAATCTCGACGGCATCGAAGAGAATCTCAAATGATATTGGTTACTCTGAGCTTTGTTCAAATAAAACCTGATTCCATCATTCAGAAACCCTTTTTTTCCTTTTTCATCAATGGATTTTCAATATTCTTCGTTCACTCCACTTCTTGCTTCATTCAGTCCAGCAGTTTCAAGAAGTCGAACATATTCTTTTATTTTCTTTTCCGTGTCCCAATAATCATCACTTGCGACGAACATTCAATTTAGTTGATTTTTAACGTGTGAGTGTGCATTGCATTACCTTGGCGGAGCAGAATCGTTCCAATAAAGTGCTTTACTTTAATATTCGTTCAGTCGAAAAAAAATTTTCCTCTTGACCCAAAATAATTTGTATTTGAAAAATGTTGGTAAATTTGAATATTTTGTTCTGTTGCAGCAAGACTGTCCAAATGGCAGATTGACGCCGGCAAAGTTTGTCGACATGTACAAAATGTTCTTCCCCTCTGGGAACGCTGAAGAATTTTGCGATCATGTGTTTCGTACATTCGACATGGATAAAAATGGTTACATCGATTTCAAGGTAAGCGTCATGAGCCCACGCGTTTTTATGTAAAAAATGTATTATTCCGCAAAGGTGGAAGTTCAATTGCAAGCGAGCAGTTGACTGAATCTTAATTCCTTCTTCGTTGAATGAAAAGTGCGTGCGAGTAGCTGAAACGTGGCTATCACAGCTAAAGCTCACAAGCAAGTTTGCGAACAAACGAGTCTGCCTCGCATTCATTTTCTCGAAGTAGTTAATTGAAAGTGCGAACGAATTCGGTGGCGCGACGCGTGTCTCTTCGGAGTAGCGTGGATACGTATACAGGCGCTCGGAGCAGAGCATCGAGACGTTGGCCCTCTGCGTATTCAAAAGTCGTATACATTCGAGTGTAAGGGTTGGCGCGCGGGAAAGAGAGAAGAAAAATCGAGGCCGTGTCGATGGGTGGCTGGTTCGCTGTGCATACATACGTAGAATATGACGAGCGAGCGAGTGAGAGAGCCACGCCCAGAGCGTTATAACGTACCTAGTTGCATTGGCAACGCGTGCGTCGACAGCGGCGGCTCACGGCTCACGGCGTCGGCGGCGGCTGCACCCCCGCCGCGGTCATTAATGGAGCGCGAAGTCGACTGCTGCTGGTCGAATTGGGTCAAAAGCCGCTCTCTCGTTTGCTCGCTCTTTGTGTATATGCGCCCCTACCTTCTATGTGTATATATATTTCTCCGGAAAGTGCAGCACATTCGTCGATTTATGTGCAGCTCCTACACGTAGATATCAAGCAGGCTTTTTGTGAAACAACAGGGCCAGCCAACAACACTATTATTACTATATGTACGGCGATGTGTTGAACATGCTAGCTCAGGTGAGATTGATTACAAAGTTATAAGCGTCCGCACCGATTGGACTTTCTCTACTCCTTTATTCTACCATCCTATCTTTTTCGCTACGTAATTTCTGCGTGGCATGTTTTGTCTTCTCGTTGTTTTTACTTGAGTTAGCGTATATACTCAGGGCTCACACATATTTCTAATTCGGCGATCAACTGTTTGTCTTCACATTACTGGGTTACGAAAAACTTGAACGAAAAAAAAAATTAAGAGCTGTCTCAGTTGAGTTTAATAAGCTGATCTCAAAACGCATAATTTTATTAATAATATCTGCACCGAGCTTATTTTTCTTCCTTTTCTCATTACTTTAAATGTTCTATTACATTTTTAGCTTAGCTGGTAAAAGCACTATAAAATAAAAAACATTTTTAGCTCAATTTATATTTATTTTTCAATTTATAATAAAAGTAATTTAAACGCAATAAAAGATTCTTTTTTTCATGTCTACGCTTGACATCATTTATCGTTGACTCGTCAAAGTGTGAATACTATTTTTAAGCACATGATTAATGAAATGCTATGGTTGAGACTGATTACTAGACTGGGGTAATTAAACATTAGAAGAACTAACACCATTAATAATATTCTTGAGAGCTTTCATTATGCTCTTAGTGCTTACAAATTACTGTTGTTTGAACGCAAACGTTACTACAATTCGTGGGTCGATGAACTTTTTTAGTTTATTTTGCAAAAAATTGTTTTTATATAAAATTTTATTTTATGATTTTTTACCAATGATTTAAATTAAAATAGTAATATCAGTTATTGAAACTTAGAAAAGTAATACTATTGAATATATTAAATTGAAATTTACAAAGTTTGAGAAAAAAAGTAAAAGTAATGAAAAATTTACGTGTTTTTCTAGCTGAATGGTTGCTTTCTACACTAAAAGACATTTTTGTTGTTGAGTTTTCTCACGCCTCGCGCGCAATTCGCAGAGTCGAGGAAAAGCAATAAACGCACAAAATGTTTCCTACTGATATAGAGAAACACTGAAATGGAATAGTTCGTAAAGTCCAACGATATTTTCGTTCGCCTTTCGTAAAAAAATATACTTAACTCCATCGTGAAAGTTGGAACGTAAAAAAAAGTTTTGTGTAAAAATATATACTGCACGAGGCTTATCTTAATAGAAATAATTGAATGCGAGTTGGATATACGAAGTAAGCCCACTGACTTATTGCAATTGTATAACAGCTGTATACTGGCTCAACTTTGGCAAATAGCCAGTTTTGAATTAAACGATAAAAGATTCGTTTATTGTGCATTGCGAGCTGTGAAATAATTCTAAATTTGCAAGAAATGATAAATCGTTTCATTCCTCAGTGAATGACTTAATAATCAAAATTTACATGGCGAAAATGTACGGTTTCGCGTTTCTGATCCAAGGGAAAAAGTTTTAACGAGCAAATTATAAGTTGCAAATACGAGGGCAAAAGCTCGTGTATCGAAAAAAAAGAAGCGCGAAACTTTTCAATGACAATCATTAGAGGGCGCGTTACGTATTGGCGTACGTCGTTATTTTGGCCTCGCTAGACGCGCAGAAGCTCATACATACGCATTATTCAAGATTCTCTACGTCAGCATGAGATGCTCGAGCCTTGACAATGCTTGAACAATAAACAGGCGAGAAGAGGAGGAGGCAGCAGCAGTGGCACCTCCTTCCGTCCCTCTATTGACGCTTAACTATCGAACTCTCCTGCATCTGAGTAAGATAATGATGAATTGACTCAATGGTGTTCCGTTTTTAGTACATCTATAACAGCTACGATCGCTGCTATTTTCTTGCACAGCAAAAGTACAAATAATGAAGTTTTGAGAATGAAAATAACTTAGGCTAATATCATTGATATCCCTAATAATTTCGATGGAACAAGCGCGTGCAAGCATAATAATCTAAGGTATATTTGATAAATACATTTCAATCAAATCATTGGTTACCTTTGGTTAAGCTAAAAAATAGTATAAATCATTTCATGACAAATTTTTTTTACATAAAGCCGAGCATTAATGCCATACCCCTGCAAAGCCTCGCAACAAGTGAGTCAAGATAAGACGAGATCTAGTATAAATCTTTCAATGTATAGCCTTGCAAGCTTGCTTATATGCGCCCATCCTTGTAAATATGTCCACAAGTACGCACACATACAAGACCCTCGAGTGTGTGCATGATGTATGAATCGCGCGCAAACGCCATTAGTCCCCCGCGCACGCACACAAGCTCAAACTGACGTCTCTGATGCATTGCAATTTTGCAGTAGCTTTGCTCTCGCGAGCTGTCTCTGCTTTAGTGTATGTATGTGTGAGGTTCTATGTATACTAGCCGAGGTGATTAAAGTACAGTCAGGATTTAACTTGTTTTCTCAATGACACACAGCTACACCCACACCCAAGGTACCTTACCCTTGGAGTTTGATGTAACCAACGAGGATGATATTTACTCATCTGCGCAGTCGAACAGTACGATCGAAATGCCTTCCTCGTTAGTGGCTTCGATAAACACCAGTACCAAGACCTACTTGCTGTTATAGCAATGCAGCGCTATCTCTATACCTCTAGCTGCTTTTGTTGATTCTTCTACTTAAATGCCACTCCGATTATGTGACTAGCTCTTCTGCACTTAACGACCGATGAACTTGCTTTCTTAATAGTGTCATGAATTTCAAAAAATTTTGACTATTTTTTCATTAGATGTATTCAGACATAAAATAAAAATAAAGCGCTAGTAAAAAATATTCAAAAACAAGCTTCACTTCGACAATTTACTATTCGATTAAATTAATATAATTTTTGTTGGTTTGATCATTGAACATTTTTGAATACTCTCTGATGTATAAAAAACGTAACTCAAAATTTATCTTGAGATGCGTACTTTATACATTTAGTTTATATTATTAAGGTGATGCCAAAGCCCCGATTTTGACCGACGGAGCATTAGAAGTGTAAATTTAAATAACTTTTTCACTAGACCGATTTTCGAAAAACGACTGTGTGGAGCCCTCCATATTGATGCTGTGAACAACTGTACCAAATTTCATTCCATTTCATTCAACAGTTTTTCCGGAAAACGGGATCGTTTAGTTCGTTAGATAAAATATTCCTTTTATAAATATTAATTACAAATCCTTTATAATTATTGAACCATTTAAATTTAAAAATGTTCATACAATTTTTACGTTTAACAGCAGCTTCATATTTTATTAATAACATTAATTTTTATTAGAGCCCGGCTGATATGCAAAAAAAAAATAAATTATTTATGCAAGCAAATGTGTTCCAAAAATCTTTAAACCATGCTCGTACATATGCAAAAATAATTCGAATATGTAATTATGTAATTAAAGTAATTTTTGTTACGGACCAAACTGAAAAATTTGCAAAGAAAACCTTACTTGATCAACCAGAAACTAGAAACAATACTTCTTATGATTCAAGTTATTATTTAATTTAAATTGAAGCATGTGAATATTGGAAATTGAGCGTTGTAACTGCCCCTGTTTGTAAAAGTTGAGTTAAAATTCGTAAAAATGTACGAAAATATATGTAAAATTCAAAAATAAATGAAACATGTGCAATTTCGTGTGCAATGTATGCATTTGCATATAATCCTGACTTTTATTATTATTTTTTTATTTCAATTTTTTAATTAAATTTGTTTCTTCTTCAATTTTTTGAAACTTACAATTTTTTACATGAATTCAATAATACAAAAGACATTGCGAAAAATACTCTGTTTCTGAAAAATGTATTATTTCTACAAAAAAAAAAAAAAACGATGCTCGTTTGTTTTTTACGGGCTATCTCACATATCAAACGCATCTAAAGAAGTTTCACTTTCAAACTAAAGTTTGCTTAATTTGTCTAGACATAATTTTGTTCGTCTTTTTTCCAACATATATGGTAAATTTACAAATGATTTTTCGTACCGAGCTGTTATCGTTTATGAATATATTTGAATACGTGCATTGCGCAGGCGTTTACTGAGATAAGCATCATTCGTGCTAGTAAGCATTAAATAACATCGAAGTTATAATTGTTTCCTTCCGTTAACTTTATTTTTCTCTACGGTTAGATTTATATTCTTGTATCGAATTTTATTTAAAAAACATTATGAAAAGTGTTTTTTAACTCTGCTTAATTTACTTACTAAAAATT